AGAACCATGCTTGTGATTCCTATAGAAAGACTAAAAGTGGTCAAAATTGCTACTTGTGGTCATAAAAATTAAGCAATTATATATTATGTGCTTCTTTATAGAATTTCAGATTATGAAACCTACAAACCTATATTTAAAATTTACTTAAATTTACTTAAATAGTAAATTTTTAATTTACTTAAATAGTAAATTTTTAATTTCCTCCAATAAAAATTTAAATTTATTAAAAAAATAATATTTTTAGAATAATTATTTTTTAAGTTTTACCGACTATCCTTTAAAAGTATTTTTTTATTAAAATTATATTTTACCATTTGGATTAGATGGAAAAACTTTCTTAAAGGAAAAATCTGAGAAATAAACAATCATGGTTGCATAATACACATCACGTGGGACCCGGAGTCCAACGGATCAGGCGCCCATCTTGGTGCAGATATTGAGATGAAATTTTTTATGACACGTACAATAATAATGTAATAAATGTATTATTTAATAATTAATATTTATAAACTTTAATGAAAATTAATTTAAATTTAATTAATTAAAATTATTTATATAATAATAACATTAAAATAAAAATCAAATTTTAATTTTTATATAAATTAATTATAAAAAAATATATTTATTACACTTTAATGTATACTATTAGAAAAACCCTATTGAGTTATGTTTTGGGTTGATCAGGATAGCCAAAGTAGAGTGCAAGATGGATTTGAAGGGCACATTGGGAATGAAAAGTGGGGGCGTTTAATGGATAATTCCAGATAATTATGTTAAATCATTAACCGTTATAAAAATGTTCTAGACTGTTGGTGGATCCGTTATAACGGGAGCGTAGAAAACCTAATGGGAGTAGAGATTTTCTCTCTGTTTTTGTAATAGTAGACCCTGACTTTAGAAACAATTTGGATCTAAATATTTTTCTTTTATTTAAAAAAATTGCAGAAATAATTAAATAAAAGAAGAAAAATCTTTAAAAAGGAGTTTGTGATGGGGTTCGCTTTAGGACAAAGTAAGAGCCCAGGGAGGCGTAATCTGAATTTTTTATGCATCTTTTGTTTTTGTTTTGAATAATGACATAAAGGATAAAAATTTAAAGTGAAAATTTGAAATCTATAATATAGTTTATATTATATGATTAAATTAATTGATATATATATAATTTTTTTTTCTTAATTTTTTTAAAATAAAGATTATAAATGACAAGGCTTAGTTCACTTGCAACTTAAGCTTTACTTGGAAAAAAAATGTTAGTTAAGACTAGGTTGAGACTGGCACCGACTCAACAATGCATACGGTCTGGAGTAGTTGTGCATTTGGACCTGGAAAAAGTGGGGCCATCAATTCCAGCCGAAGACCTCCACTAATGGCCACCTCTGAGGTATAACTCACTTGATTTTTATTTTTGTATCAAAATTTTAATGAAGTTAACTTGATACCCAATGATCATCATGTTGGGATCTTGACATAGCAATTTGAAGTTAGCAAAAATTAGTTTTGTTTAATCTAATAAATAAAAGTGTTTGAATTAATAATAATAATTATTATTAAATATTAAATTAGATAAAATTATAAATTGTTAATTTTAAATTGATATATTGAATAGAAAAACTAGAATTTATTTATTTTGTTTCAAAATAATTATCATTTTTTTACTTTGAATTTATTTCAAATTATTTTTAAATTTTTAATTTTTTAATTTAAACAAATATTTTTCTTACTTTAACTATATTTTTGTCTATTTAATTTAATTAATTATTTTATCACAAAAATCTATCTTTATCTTTTACAATATCTCTTTTTTACAGTAACAAATAAATGCATAAATTGTCTTTAAATTTTTAATTTAAAAAAAAATTATTTTGAGATGAAAAAATACTAAAACATTCTTTGAGTTAAAGTCTTACTAGGAGTACTTGTTTACCTAATTAGACGAAATCAAACCTAACAGACAATGTGAAATGAAGTTGTGACATAGAAATAGACAGAGTAACCTGTTGCTTTGGATTGGATGAACTAAAACCAATAGGAATGGAATTGGGCAGGATCATGTTGAAAGTCAACTCTAATTTCTTACCAAAGTCTTGTTAGCAGGATAGTAATTGTTATATCTTTTGATTTAATATATTTATTAAAAATTTATTATTTTTAAATTTAAAATGAAAGTGAAAAAACTTAAAATTATAGATTTTAATAATTAAATTAATAAATATTGATAAATATATTAAACTGAATGATGTATTAATTATTTTTTTTTATTAATACTATTTTACAATTAGAGAAAATTATCCTGACCGACGACATGGTGACTCGAAGTATGACAGAAAATCAGTACATGCCTATTGAAAAATGGGTTTTATCCATCTAACATGATTGAAAAAAGTTTAAGATTGTCTCTTCATAGCAACCAAACATTTCATAGCTCCTACATGCATTCTCTCACAAACAAGAAATTGATAAGAATTACAAAAACAAAAGCAAATGGATCGAAAGTCAGATGATAGAGCCAATGAACAAAAACCAACTCCCATTCAACCTCACTTTCATCAGCCATTAGTCTCGGAAAGAATGACTCAATTTGGATATGATAGGGATATGATAGGAAGTAATTCATCTATCTTAAATTATCTTTTATTATAATTAATTTTTATATAATTTTAAGTAATGTTTTCTAAAAATGTATAAAATAACAATTAAGATTATTTTATTTGTTTGAATATAGTTCTTTTTTATAGTTTCATTTGATTAAAAAATATATTTTTTTTATTACTATTAATATGCTA